AATCTTAATTTACATTTTAAGTTCTATCATAACTTATTTCAAGCTTCGGGTTTCAGATGGTTTCAGGAAACTTTGCAAAGTTTGGAAACGTTTGGGGTTCAAGATTCAGATTCTGGCGGAAACTTCTTGAACCCAAGCCCTGACAGACACGCAAAACCTCAAGATTCAAGGGCTTGGATTAATTGTTGGGTTTCAACATGCATGTATGCAGTATGTAGATATAAACAAAAACATATCAGCGCCCACGCAAAAATGACAATCGGAATGCGCAGAATGCACTGTAATTACCTCAGAAATGTGCAAAAAGGTAGGGGGTACCACATATTTTAAAAAGACTTCCGAATAACCATCCGCGCATCACAAAACTGCCCACCCAAAGCGGACCATCCGACCTGTCCGTGTGCGCCGACCTTTGCCATCTTCCGTCGACCGCGTCTCGCCTGAGTCTATACTGGAGTGTGCGCAAGCTTTCTGGTCACCGGCCCAGGCGCTGGGCCGCGACAACGTAGAATCCCGTCCACAAATTCATCGAGTGTCACCTGCTTGGCAGCAGCAAAAGTAGAGGGCGGGGTAGCAGCAACAACGGCTGTTTTTCAATAGCTAACAAAAGGCGCTGGGCAGGAGGTAATTTACGGGTATGAACTTGAAATCATACCGAAATCTTGCCAAAGAAAAACATCGGAGTGGGTGGGTAACAAACCTGATACCTGACACCGTCGTCTCAAAACATGACATTTTTCCTTCAATACTTCAAGATTGCTCACTTGTCGCTCGCGCGCCTGTCCGTCACCATTGTCAATCATGTTAAAAAGGGCCGCGCCCTCGGTCACGTCAACGTCCAAGGTCTGAAAGTATGCTTCGACCTGCAGGGTTGGCTTCTTGTCGCTTGGAACAAATTGATTGCAGTGAGCAGCAGCATGTATTCGTCAGTATGAGCCACGAATCAACCACACACACAATGAACTTGAAGGGTTAGGCACGTTCCATTGCGTTCACCTTCTGGTTGTGGAGTGCTGTCGCCACCTCCTATATACACCCAGTCAGACGACGGGAGGCCCAAAAGCGGAGAGAGGTGCTGGAGAGAGGTGCTAGGAAGAACATGTGGAAGATGATGGTTCAGAGAGATACAGCAGAATGAGGATGTGCGATGTGAAGAGGTGAGAGATGAGAAGATCAGAGTCTGATGCGCCACGATGAAGCCAATTAAACGGACTTTCGCGCGGCGCCTCAAGGTGCCCCATGATGTTTGCCACGCCTGAAAAAGTGATGATTATGCAATGCTGGGCAGAGCAAGCGCAGCAAAGCGCGAAGTGCCCCGCCGAAGATATGTTGTTGCTAGCATATGTCTCTTGCGCGCGTGCTCTCGTATGTGTGGCTTTGCACTTACCGGAGATGCTTCGAAGCGCTCAGACTTTGGTGTCACTTTTGTGCATGAGAGAAAACGCAAAGCAATCAAACGATACGCCAACAACTTGACGACTTCGACTCTGTCGTATGAAATGAGCATGTTGGAAGACCTGCTGTTGAGTCAGATTGAAACATTGGCCGAGCCATCTTCTATTCCAAGCCGTGAAATTTTTGTCTGGACAGAAAGGCGGAAGAAATTTGTGTCCCAAATGGCTACAATAGATGGCTTGAGGGTGTATTCAACAGATGTTTGCTCATTTGAATTGGAAAGTTCAGAGGCATGCGGCCAGGTCTACTGCCATGTCAAAATACATGGAGCGCAGATGACCTGCGTCAGCAGGTGGACAGAACAATCTTTGGGTGTTTTCGACATGACAGAATCTGTCATCTTCGTGCCCACTAGGTGCATCAAACAAGTGCGCCCGTTTTCTGTGAAGGATGGACGGGCACTTGTGCGCAGGTGATCGCGCGCAGTTTTTACCGCCCGCAGATGCAAGAGAGCGTTCTTGTGGTGCTTTGTGTGTTTGACTTGTGGCTTGTTTCGCCAAGCTTTTTGTTGAGGGTTGACAGCCTGTTAGCGATCGATGGTTTTCTTGCACATTGCTTGTGTGTTCCTAGGGGTTTACAACTTGTTTGTGGCACTCCTTTGAGATTCGCTTGCTTTGCTTTTTCGGTAGAGCGTGCGCTCGTGCCAACATTGAACACCGCAAGCATGCCAACACTGACATGAACACGCGCATGCTGGCGCGTGCATGCGCATGTGCCAAGCCAACGCGCACTTCCTGCTTGCGAGCGCAGCCCTGCAAGCGTGCCAACGTTGAGAGTAGATAAAAGGACATTTCTTTCTATAGGCAGTCCGTGGTTGACAATTGCACTAGCACTGCATGGTTCATGATGCTATTGCAATGTGGCGTGTGATCACCACAGGAGTTGTCAAGAACTTTCCTGAATGGCTATCTTTGCTCCAGCAATGTGGCAACGCACACATTAATGCTGCCAACTCCCAAGAGTAACATGAACAAGGATTGCTATCTATCTTGCGAGCGCAGCCCTGCAAGCGTGCCAACACAAATTCTGAACAGTATGCATTCAAGCAACTATACCTACAACCCCAAGAAAGACCGTTGCTGTTCAACAAGCCATTGCTGCTTGCGAGCGCAGCCCTGCAAGCGTGCAAACACAATTCTGAGCAGTATATGCATTCAAGAAACTGTTTCTACAACCCCAAGAAAGATCGTTGCTCTTCAACAAACCTTTCTCGCTTGCGAGCGGCGCCCTGCAAGCGTGCCAACTGACATTCGCTACATATAAAGACAATCCTGGGAGCGCAACCCTGCAAATTCTGTGTTCAACAACTCAACAGTATGTTTGCACTTAGGGGGCGCGGCCCTATGCATGCTGAGAGGAGCAAGACCAACCGACATGTTTTCATGGTATACCATTGTTCTAAGTGCTTTAAGTGTACTTGCTATGTAGGCTATGTGTACTTACTATGTACTTCAGTAAGTAGCACATAAGTGACTTACTATTTATTTAACAACTACATAGTAACTGCTTAGGAAATAGCCTAAATATCTTAACTAATTACTAACCACTACGGGCCGCCAAGTACCCTCCTTCAAAAGTTGCTTCTCGGAGCCCCTGTGAAGGAGCCGTCTCTGAAAAGACCGAAAAGAACCTCAACGTTGAAGTTGAATCAAACGCTGAGAAGAACCTAGACGTACACACACACACTGATTGTGGGACCGGTGAGTGGTCCAAGCAATAGCACGACCGCTGACTTCCCACACACCATCGTCAAGTTGTAGTGCAGGGGTGCTCCTCCGACCCGAAGGGTCAATCCAAACCTCTGCGAATGAACCTTGTACCAGGGTCTGATGTTGATCCCCACTGGGTGTCCGCGACAACCGGTCATACGCATAGGCCGATGTTTGTTGAAGGGCTTTGTTGCGCGCCTCAAGCCCCAATTTCACTGGAGTGACAGGGGGCTTTACTTCCCAGATCTCAAAGATTAAGCCGTGCATGTCTCAGTATGAGCATTTACATGTTGAAACTGCGATTGGCTCATTAACACAGTTATAGTTTTTTTGACGGTCACTGCTACATGGATAAAGCGACACAGCCCAGATGTCGGACGCCAAGCAAAAGCGAGCAGCGGCACTCTCTTGTACAAAGGTCTCTGAAGCACCGTAGTTGCGCGTTGTGGCCACCTCCGTCATCTTCATGCCAGCCTCTTGAAAGATTTCTGTGAGTTCTTATACTTGGGTGTGGTCTCATGTGTGTGTGTGCATATTTCCGCTCTCTCATACCTGTGCTCTCATGGGTGGGCTCACAAATGTGTGCTCCGATATGTGTGCTGTCATGTGTTTGCTTGTATGTTGATGCCTTTAATATATACAAATGTGCGTGTGCTGTCTCTTTTGTGTGCTCGTACAAGTAGTATGTGTCATTCTTCTTCATCTCGATGCAACAATGTGGTACCAGTGGCACTATACAATCCCCATGGAAAAGAGGCCTGGCATACTCCGCTCACCAGCGGCATGCCAAGTTTGCGCACGGCTCCCCGTTCCCCAACGGCACGGAGCCAGGCAAACATACTCTCCACCGAAGCCTCACCAAACTACATGGCACAGCGTTTCAAGCCTAATTTTTTCACCTGCTAGTAGCAAAAATACCTACTAGTAACTTCTTGTTCCTAGTAGTAATGCACTTCTTCCTTTAGTAGCGATGCACATGCTACTACTTGCTACTAATAGCTTCTTGTTGGTCCGAGACCTGAGAGCGTACAGCAAGAAAAGCAAAATCAAAACGAACGGCTTGCAAGGTTGACCCCCACACACCGGTCGAATTCGCATTTCACCCCGGTTTCGGGCAGTCGAAATAGCACGATTCAAGTTTTCAGGGTTCACGAAGATCGTGTCATCTCGCCCCAGCTCAGCTCCGCCAGGAAAGAAGCAAATCAAGAAGATGTGACGATGTGATGATGCGAAGATGTCAAATGTAATTAAGCAGATTCGTATGAAGAACCCTTCGCTCACCGGTGCCAAGGCGGAACAGACCGGTCCAGCGGTCCGAAGGATTGAATTCTATTTGGAGGATGGGAAGTTTGAGACACCCCAATCTATATTTGGGAACCAGCACGAACTGATACTAACTGCCCCTTCTCTTCAGTGTCTTTAAGTGATGCATCCACTTCATAGAACAGTCCCAACAGTCCTGGGATCACAACAATCTCCCTGTTCGATCTGATTGGGTGAAAGCCTTCCGGCAAAGGAATCGACTATTCATATCCGAGCAGCAGTTCTGGGAGGTGTAGCAGGATACCAAAGGGTCAGATCGAACACGGAAGGAGGAACATGCCAAGGGTACCCAGTGCATCAATGGGTACCAAGTTCATTGTTCACTGAGTCTAGCACGATTCTGAGCTTTTGGTCCACATCAGTCACTTTCGACTTGGCCTTTGGGTTCGCAAAGATGGACAGGAGTTTTTGCTCGGAAATCATCCCGTCACCCTCCTGCAGCGATGTGCAGACACTGAATCAGCTGCAAACCCCCCAGTTGGCACCTGCACCTGGCGGACCTGGCGCAAGTGCCTTCATCCGCTTTGCATATATGGCTCTGGGTGAAAACCTGGGGACCGACCGGTTGACCATGGAAAATGAACAGCCTATCAGGGATGTCAACCTTTCTCTGGTGGTTGCGGTTTTGACCCACTGCCATGTTGCCCCCACCCAAAAAAGTGGCTTTGGCGGACACTGAGTGACACTGAGCAGTCATCTCATGCTGTTTCTCTCAGGATCATCTCTCTGCTACAAATATTCTCATGCACAGTCTGACATCTCTCCTCATCCATAGCTCTGAATAAACTTTCGAGTTTCTGCAAATACTCTGCCTTTTTTCCTTGGCGCGACGTGGCTTTCATGAGATCCTTTGTAGGCTGTATAGGGGCATAGCCACGCCCACACATGACCTTGATGTGCCCAAGCTAATATCATGATATTTGTCCTAAAACAAGTTGCAACCCTTCGGTAAGGCTTGAGAACCTCGCAAGGTCAACTTGGAGAATCACCTCATGTCTCCTTTGTGTCTAACAGCATCTTCCTCAAGGACGGATGCGCAACAAAAGGGAGGAACAGAAAGCATCCCTTTTTTTTCCATGTCATACACCTTGATCCCTCTGGGGTGGCCACTAGGTGGAGGCCATCGCTATTAGGTTGGAGGCCATTGCTACTAGGCTGGGGGCCATCGCTACTAGTAACAAAGACGCTACGCACGGTGGTGCTTCAACCAGCACTTCGCTCCACCTATCTTTGTTCGAAACCAGTGGCTCAAGCGGTCCACCACCACACTTTCAGCGTCCGCTTGTGCCGCATCCAAGGTGTCCTGTGGGGATGGGACGGGCGTCGAAGAACACCACAGAAACAAAGAGACTTAGAGAGGGAGTGAGAAGGGGGGAGAGAGAGAGTACACCTAGAGACTCCAAGATTCCTGTTTTGCATCAACATTTCTGCCACAGCAAAAAGCGCCTTTGCCCTGAAAAAGGGCATTGGGCGCAATTCGCAAAAACTAAGATAGACTCGGCGCTTTTTGTTCTTTTAAAGGTCCTTGAACAGAATGATTGATTTTATTAGATGCTGGCCTGGACCAATCCTGGTTGTGGTGAGTAATCCTCTAGGGATCAACTGCCTGGTGCACCGGGCAGGAAATGAGGTGCGCCCTTTGTGTTCACGCCCAGTTTCTTTGTTCATTTCACTTCCTATATAACTCTTGTCTAGAGAGCAAACTCAAATCCAAATCCGGTCAAGGAAAGCTTATATAACATATATTAAAATATAAAACAATAGAGCAGGCCTGCGAGGCTTGCCAAATGGTTTCCTGTGGCCGGATGCAACTTTCTTCCCTGATTTACAATGATTGCAGTGAGTCAGAACTGTTGAACATATATATATATATATATCTATATATATATATATGTGCCTTTCAGGCATTGGAGGAGATTCATTCAGCATGTATGGTTATTCTTTTCTATTTTTGCAAAACGCCTTGGATTATACCTGGACTGGGATTCTTTTTGGTCCAAATACAGATCACAGCTGTTCTACGAAGACAAACTTGTCGAGGGAGGTCAAATCAGGGCAAAGCATGCCACTGGAGAGCGATCCGGAGATGTTGATGCTACACGCAAAGAAAGAACAGTCGTTTGCTTCCCTGAATTGGCTTTTCACGGACTTTTCCGTGGGAAAATATAAAGAAGTTCCTGAAAACCCCTCCAAGGAGCAGGGACTTGGACAAGCATTGTTGAATCCTTTAGCTGTGTTTCTGTACTGTAAGGGCTCTGCGGAGACCGAATCTCTCTGTCCTAAAGGTGTAAGGAATCTGAGCTATACAAACTGTGGAAGCAAATCCCTCGGTCCTCATATGTAAGCCCAAACAGTACATGGTCACCCTATAGTTTGGTTTGGGAGCGGGGCTGGGCAGGGCTTGGTAAGACTAGCCAGTGGTGGTTTGAGAATCTAGCAAAAGAAACACATTGAAGCCAGCGGTGTTCATATTCCGCGTGTTTTTGGTTTGTTTTGGTGCTTGTGAATGAATTTGGCTGAAATCAGGGCACAATAGCATCGCGGCCAAATTCATTTGTGTTTGCCCAAGGTGAAAGGGCCCTAACCCCAAGGAACACGGGCCAAAACGATGCCAACGCACTTTTGCTTCAACAGAAGAGCTGGGAAGAGATGCTCAAAGCACAGTGCAGCACTGGGCCGGGTTATGCTCAACTGCAAGACATTGGGCCGGGTTGGATCACAAAAACCTGCTCAAAGCACAGGTTATGTTGGAATCCTCTGCGAGTTCATTTCTTTTTGAAACGGTCAAGCAACCCGCCGCTGAACTCATAGTGATTGATTTGTTTCATCTTCCAGCCTTGAGAAAAATTGCCGAAATCACGCGAATGATCGCGAACACAATGATGGTCACGTACCTTGGGCAATTTCACAGTTGACTGCCCGGAAGCCATTGACTGCAGGGTACCTGGAAGAAACCTCTTCTCCAGAAATTGGAAATTATATACTGTACATGGATTTACCTATTCTCATTTTTTTGTTTCTTCAAGCAGCTGTACGGTCTGGCCCGCCGACTCGGCTGCCGAGGCTCAGCACGAAGAACACCACAAAGCCCTGACTGACCTTCTCCAGCACTGGACGGGCCTTATTTTTGTGTACCCGCCGCTGCGAGGACGACATTTGGGATAGAAGTGAAAAATCGACTACCCCAACTGGTCTACCCCAACTAGTTCTTCACCAGAAACATGCCATGCCATGCAATGGGCTTGCATATGCAATCCCAGTCGAATCCTCACTTCGCATTTCTCGTTTCTGTCTCTGAGTTTCCCAGCATTTGTTGGCCAGTTCCCTGCGAATGTCACCCTTAGCCATCGATCCCGGGCCGGGCCACACCAACGAGAAGCAACGCACCCAGAAAAACCAAAACAGATGAATGATTTTTGTATATGTTTGTTGATTCTATAGTGGTGCGAATAGATAGTGGCACGGTTTCCAATATGTACCTTTAAAGGCTTTTATATCTATGATGGAGGGTCTATATAGATCAAACAATGCGGTCGCTGTCCCAATCATCGTGGCAAACGGTTCTCCTGCATGTCCGAGGTGTTTTTGAAGGCTCGAAAGCGCGATGCGTTGAGGAGCCGTTGCATCGCTATGCATCGCTGCGAAAGCGGAAACTGTTTCGTTCCACCAGGAAACAGCAAAGGTCATCATGCCGACAGCTATTTCCCCCACTGATGTTTCTATCTGAACCAGGACAAGGTTTGCAGTGCCTCCACGCGCCTCCAACTGCTTCAGTGCCCCGACCATGTGTGCACCACGTAGGACGGGTCAACCGTTGCCAAGAACCGGCCACCCCGGAGGGATTGCCAAGAACCGAGAGTTTGTGGCGGGATGGCTCGAGAAACCGCGGGATGACGTTGGGGGGAGGACTCAACATGATGATCTCAGCCAAGCAAACACACGTGATATACAGTCTTGCTCAACCCTTAGAACTATGCAGGTCAGGGACTTCGAACTATTGGTCGTGGCCTCTTTTTCAGTTCTTGGCCTCTTAGAGTGTGTTGGAGATGGCCCTCCCACGTCCCTGGAGGAAGTCACAAAACGCCGATGAAAGAAAATGGCTCAAACAACGCAACGCACCAAATCACGAAACGCCCCTGGTGAACGAAGACAAAGCACACTTAGCATCCTGTCGATGAAGACGAACGAAGCGCAGCGATCGCTGCAACATCAGGCCCCCCAAGCTTTTCCGGAAGGGAACACTTGCTGTGCAATTCTTTTTTGTGACGGAGTCCACCAAACCCAAAACATCCAGGAATTTACCCCACATATGGGCCTAATGTAGGTAACTATTCCAGTCCCATTGATGGTGGTCTGGACAAAAAACAACACCGCCAGCGCGCCACGACCCCTCCAACAACCAACGAAGACCAGAACGCCGCCAACGTCTCTAACGCCTCTCTCAGAGTCGGTGGGACATGCTATGCTACGAAGAATCACCAACTGTTAACTTACCATACCCTCTTTAATATAATTAGGCTTGGAGGGTCCGGGTACCTTGAGAATGTATGTTCATGCTCGAAGTAAAAACCAAACCAACCAAGGTGAGGAATGATTGGAGCTGAAATGGTTGGCCCACACACTTAGTGCACAGCCAAGTGTCTCGTAGAGGGTGTACATTGCCTGAGCACGGAGTGACTGTGCTTCTATCGCCTTTCCCGTGCTAACGCTGCTGCTACCACCACGGGAAGCACCATTGACAAGGAGGAGGAAGAAACACAGGGAGGCAAAGAAACATACACGGAATTACGGGAATTATCATGGCCCCAAGAGGATGAACCTATTTCCTTTACGATCAAATAGGTGGTGCCATCCATGGAACCATGATTCTTCCAGGGGAAGAAGTACATTCACAACACATCGCTACCCTGGACACTGACAAACCTACAAGTTCAGTTCAGAACTTCACACGACGCCTTTTTCCACCGGTTGGACCACAAAAAAGGCGGCTAGGGAGAACCTCAATCCTTGTTGAAAAGTGGGTTTGAAGTGGGTGCCAGGAGGGTCCAGTCATACCTTCTGAGGAGGTACGACTGGAGCTTTAGGGTGTTGAAAAACAGCTGGGGAACCTCGATCCTTGTCCAGCCCCATCCATCCTTGTCCAGGCTTTTCATCAGTCGCGGCCCAGATGCGCGGTAGGCGGTGCCATAGCGATTCCAGATCCAATGCCGATCCTCCCGTTGCGGGTCGATTTTTCTTCGTTTCGGACATGAGAGAAGCACCATTGAAATTGGATTTATAATATATTATAATATGTATATATAAGCTATATAGAGATATGAGTTACAGTCTTTTTCCCATCATGAGATGACCTGTTCGGATGCTGCCACTCTTCCAAAACCACAAATCATGATCGACGGAACCTCCAAGTTGTTCGACTCGTTGGTGATGAAATCTTGAAGCAAGTTGCCCAGCACTAAGGTCCCAATCGACCTGAGATCTGCCAGGAAGACATGGTGAGTCAAGACCTCCCTCACCATGGCCCATGGCAGGTTGAGACCCCAGGGTGCCCAGGAATCTGTTCATTTGCAGGGGCCAACCAGGGTGCCCAGGTTTTGACCCACAACCAAATGTATGAGAGGAGCCCAAGGAATGGTTCTTCACATAGCTGATAACTTCCCCCCCCTTCAATACTCAAAGCCCACACCCAGTGCCATTTGGCATTCACGACACAAAAGTAGCGGCCTAGCGTGAGTTTGTGTCTTTACTGTGCGACTGTGCGGAGTACTCAGCTACTGTAGCTTACTGTTCATGTGAAAGTGGCTCACCCTGTGCAAGCTGGGCCAACGCTGCGTTAGGGGACGCTGGGCCCTTCAATTGAAACATTGAGAGGCATTCTGATTCTCGCGTCATGGATCCAAAGGGACGTTCTGAAGGAAAGCCCTACATCCGGAAAGGGTCAGCTGAGGAACGAGCTGCTTCCCCCGCTCAACGATCCAAGTGGCATAAAAACGACAAGGAGAACCATAGACCAACCAAGGGAAGGCAAGAAACAGGTACATGCCTTCACCAAGAGTTGTAGGCCTGAACACTGGCCGGCTGAAAAACCGTACGCCCTAGGTGGGCGGAATTGTAACCTGAGGGATCTGAGCTTAGCCACCTGAGCCCCGAGCTCTTCATTGCTACTATACATAGTAGCTTGTTACTAGTAGCGATGGCCTCCAACCTACTTGCGATGGCCTCCACCTAGTAGCTTCTAGCTATAGTAGCTTCTTGTTACTTCAAATGACTCAGCATGACCACTCGTTTCACATCAAGCAACAAGGGCATCGCTACGAACGGAGCAAGGACGCTACGAACGTAGCTCCTGGCACTACTACTAACAAGAAGCTAATTACTGGTAACTAGTAACAAGGGCATCGCTACTTGTTCATTCATGTTCATTCTCTTTTCAAGCCTGGGACTGCCTGGCGCTGTTCACATGTGGGCTGTTCACATGTGTGGGTTGAACGGGAAAAAGTCTCTCGAATACATTCAAATCCCACGATTTCTATAGCGCGACTTGCGGATCCGTCCAAGCCACAGCTCATGTTAAGCAGCGGAAATCCCACAATCTATACTATTTCATTGGCCTCCTACCGAGCTGGTGTCGGACAACGAAGCCTTCATACGAATGGCTACCAGATCGACGGTTGAACCTCAGCTCTATATTTTGGCGAGTCAAACACTGCTTTTCTCCAACAGAATCGTGGTGCACTGCTTCAGTTGCTGCACTGATTCACGGGAACATACGGGAACCAAAGATGATTCGCATGGATGTCCTGGTGTCACTTTCTCATGAACAAAATCGAAACCCAAGCCGTTTCGATCCCTAAAACGTGAACCAAACCAACTCCACCTGTTCTTCTTGAGTGGGGGGTCTCTTCAGTGTCCCCAATTCTTCCCAGCAAATGCCGATGCAGCATATGGGGATATCATGTGATCACTCATGTGATCATGATCCACCCAAGTTGGATGAAAAGAACCTCCACCCCACCCAGAGTCGATCTACCCCATCCTCCGTTGTATCGGCGCCCTTGTCCAATCCGATGTCCATCCGGCCTTTGAAGAGCCGAAAGGTGCGCACCATGCGCACCGCTCGGAAGGCCTTCCTGGGACGACCGGTCCGGTGACACCGACGGCCTACACGGCCAGCGAGCCCCGAAGACTCGGTCCGGTCCGTCTGTACACACCGTTTCTTCACATCTGGTCTGTAACAGCGGGGCTCGTCTCCGACCGGGTCTCCGACTGGAGAAGACCCTCAGAATCGAAATTGTGGTCAGATCCACCACAGGACACAGGACACGATGAAGAGGACTACACACACATATATATTTATGATATATATATATATATAAGACCTCTGCATTGCTTTACGAACGAACATCCTAGGACCAAGAAAGCATCAGCATCCTCCAGCCAAGCATCAGTGTTCGCATGAGCCGCATCATTAAGATGTTTTTGGGGTCACCCCCAATGAAGAAGACTTCCAAGAGACCGGCCAGAACCAGAACCACATCGAACCAATTCCTGTCAGGGTCGAAACGGTGTCTCCAACGTGTCGACGGTCTACGGTCTGTCTCGTCTCCAAACCGGTCTTGTCTCAGCTGCGACTGGACTGGTTGATCATGGTTGATCGCTTCTTGTCACACTTCTGATCGGTTCATGTTTTGTTTCACATCCAGTACACTGGTTGATGACCCCTTTCCCGGCCGCGTGAATGGAATGTGGTGAATTTATTGCTCAGTAGAAACGACACCCGTTTGGAAGATCACTTCTTGCTTCCATCTGCCCAATTGATGCCCTCAGACTGGACCCTACAAGCGAGGCAAATCAAGCAAATCATTTGAAAGGGTTTGTGTGACCTGGTCCTTGGCAGGGTGAGGTTAATAATCCCGAACCTTACATGGAATCCCTCGAGAGCTTTTGTGAAGGGTCGTGCCAGCGACTTGTTACAGAAGGTCTCGGGAAGCGGCTGGGTCCCGAGACCTTCTGCCCTGTCTGAAGCCCAAACAAGGCATCACTGAGTCTGAACAACCAGATTCAATCAAACTTACACAAACACATGTCCATCGTTTCTTCACTAAACTAAACAGTCTTGCTGGCAATGATTCTCCATGTCATGGGTTGCAGGAGGTACATACAATCTTCCTGCTGAAAGCAGTGAAAGGCTGGATATAGTCCTCATCATCCTACAATTACTTCAGAGTCCGGCTCGAGTTCGATTCTCACCTTCGAGCTGTCAGGGCCTCGCCGTACCTATGTAAGCTGTAGACATCCAAACTGCTGCTAGGAGACGCAACGTCACGGAAGAAATCCAGACCCCGGATGACAATCCTGACGAAGTGAGAAGCGGCCATCGCCGAGCTGGTTGGCCATCGAACATCGCTAGTTGGTTGGAGGCCAATCCGATTGGTGGGGGACGAGGGGCATTCGTTCTTTATCATAGGTTAGCTTGACCTTCCACCTTACTGGAGTTGATCATATTAAACACACTAACTAATCAATGAGGTAAAAGGACCGCTCTCCTGGGTCAAACTGGACCTGTAAGAATACCAGTCACTTGAAGAGTCTTACCTCAATCGGTCTATGTATATGTGGCTTTCATTGCGCGTTCTAAATCAATCAAGTTTGAGGTACTTCTTCGCTCGCTTTCAGGAATGTCTTACCCGTTCTGCCACCTGAAGGTGTCCAGGTCCATCATGGTCCGCCATGGTCCATAACTAACTACTGCTGTCCTGATCAAGAGCTCGGCCAAGAAGACAAAAACGAAAGTATGATGCAAGGTCTTGAAGAGACCCTCAATGTCCTGCGATCACTCATCACCAGCTGATGAACACGCTAACCCCACAAGGTCTTCCCCATTGATGCAAAGAAACATGGTGAACACACACACATATAATATATAAATATATATTATATATATATACACACACACTTAACATACATATATAGTATAGGCGTCCTTTCTTTTTGTTTCGGGAATGCTACAAACGTGCCATGAGCTTCGGACGATGAGCTTCGCCGGTAGAAACTGCCAGTCCTCCACATTATTCGGACACGAAACACACGAAGACATGCGAAAACCCGCACCTGGCAGGCGACCTCTTCAGAACCCGTCCATTTTGGGCCCGGGAAAACAACTAAAGACAACTAAAGAACGGTAGAATATGGTATGGCTGATATGGGCTATTTATCTACATTTGGTCGGTTTCAGGGGTCAATTATACTGTAAATCCAATATGTTGTTTGTCAATTCACAAGCCGTTGGTCTAGCCAGTAGCCCATGTATATCCAATATAATACATACATATATCATGCATTTACTGTACTTGTACACACTATGTACAGTTTATACAGTATCTTATTATGTACTATTCATATACCATATCTGTGCATATATTCTATCGATTTTACATACATGTTTAGTATTGTTTACTCATATATTCCATGCAGTCCCATACAGGAAGCTCCGGTCTCCTGGAGCTGCGGGCCCTCGCTCAAAGCTAAATTTCGGCCGATGGCCCGGCCCTCGAGCTCCAATTCCAACCTGAAACGTCGCGCAGCGTCGCGCAGCGTCGAAGGTTCAGCACATCGGACGGAATACTGGAGAACCAAATGCATCCAAATGCTATTAGGTTGGAAGCCATCGCTAGTCGATCTAGTCGGTTGGAGGCCATCACTAGGTGGGAGGCCATCGCTAGGCCATCGCTACTAGGTTGGAGGCCATTAGGTTCAGCGCATCGGACGGAAGACCGGGGTCTTCCGGCAGTGCATTTTCGGTGAGATCGCCGCTCCAGACCTTTTTGCGTGGTGAATCACATGGTCACATGGATCTTTACATCCGATCCCGGTCAGGGGCTACATGGTCAACGGTTGTTTGGTTTTTTGCTCCAAAAAGGCGAGTCTTGGAGTAGTTGGAGCGGGCTTTTGTGGAGGAGGTTCCACACGTGGGGTGGATACATTGGAATAAATTATGATAGTAATTGTAAGGGAGTAAGGTACAGTCTATATGTTTAATGAATTGACCAAGTCTGCCAGTGTTAGAGAGATTTCGACGTTCACGCAAATTTCAGAAGGGTTATGCAAATTCTTCATTGCCTTTAAGCACAGCTTTGGCAACACCAATAGGACCAGTTCCCAACCAGCCCAGCTACTGCATTTGGAGAATTAGTCCATCAAACATTGCCTTTTTATTGGACACGTGAACTCTCTCTTTTTGATCTGTTTGATTTGCTGCTCCAGGAGCTCCCAGGCCAGCCTGTGACTTAAGCTGTAAAGGGCCCAGGGGTGAACAATAGAAAGTCAAACTACACATGCAGGACAAAACCAACCAGAACCAAAGAATACTCAGAATACAAAATCAAGGACAAACACCAAAGGAAGAGAAGAAGCCAGCCCCCTTGCAGGACCATATCAGACGTTGGGAAGGTGCAAAGAAACGATGTGTGCATGTGTATGATTTTTCCTTCCCAGGTGACTTAAACTGATGACTAAAACTTGCATGGGATGTCGTTTCGACCTACCAATGTCATTCCACGGCTAAGACAAAGTGAGACATCGTCCGGCTGAATGGCCCATGGAAGAACCTGAGTATCATCTTTATTGAAGGATTGCATATCGGCATATGACTCAAGTTTGTTTGGGATCTTTTGGCAACTAGGAGCAAGGACGCTACGAACGGGGCTCCTGGCCTTACTACTAGGAGCAAGGACGCTACTAGGGGCTCCTGGCCTCACTACTAGGAGCAAGGACGCTACGAACGGGGCTCCTGGCCTTACTACTAGGAGCAAGGACGCTACTAGGGACTCCTGGCCTTACTACTAGGAGCAAGGACGCTACTACGTAGGAGCATATCCGGGCTGTCACGAGTCAAAGCCGACACCAAAGCAACTTGCTGTCCAGGCTACATCATCACTGCAGAATTCAGCAAGACCTCATCAACTGTGTCAAACTGTGTCAGCCCAGAGATGGTCACTGTCGAACCCGCTTGCACTCAAATGGATGTCAAAGCAAATCCCTGAAAAGACGTGCCCAGCGGCCAGGAAAGCTGCCAAATAGTCCACGTAAGCAGCTGCTTTTTCGCGCAGGGAATGGGACCGTGCGGTGAGGCTCGTCTGCGTCTTGAGGATCTGGGTGTGTTCGGACCGTATGTTCTTGCTCCTCATTTCGAAGCACGTGAAGCATTTCGACTTGGAGACTTGATGTGTCTTGGGACCACTCCAGTTTGGGAAAGAAAGGGCACATGCCCCCGTTGTTTGCTCAAGAACCGCCATGCACCACCCTCAGCCTAAAGTCTGGCTCCGATCAAAGCGACAAAGACTTCCCATGAAAAAAGACTTTGATAGACTTCGATAGCCACCACGGAGGAACTGCGACTACCACCAGGCTGCAGGCCTCAAAACCTTTACAAAATGAAACACTTTTGACTTGAACCACTGCAAGTTGTACGTAGGTCTTTTCCTCCAAATGTGAAGCTCAAAGTGGCACTCTTCTTGTATACACATGTGTGCTAAGTCAAGTTGTGTCAACATGACTTTGTTAGCGATTGAGGTGAGGTTCCTATCATTCTTGTGTGCATTTCTGTGGTGGAGGTAGTCATCTGTCGAAGGGCAAGTGGTCAAATGTGCAAAGTGGTCTAGCACAGGTCTAGCGCGGATCTGGCACACTCCCGTGCCAATGTCTCAGGCCGCAAAAGCGCTTCGATCAAGAACCTGTAGGTCATACAACCAGCGCTAAGCCCAGCGCAAACCAAGCAAAATATTGTGTCTAGGTGGCACGGCAGGGTGCCATATTCAATTTGGGTCACTTAGTGACTGCAAATCCTGTCTTGAACAACGCCTCTGGAGAAGGATGGGCGTGGTGCGTTTTCCAAGCTCATTGTGGACCGTAAGTTTGGCACTAATTAGTGAAGAATCACAGTGGTCTCAGGCGTCAATGTGCTCAATGAATAATATATCTGAGATTAAGAAAACACCTCTTCACTCACTTGTTGCTGCCGGCAGAATCTACAAAAGCCTACAGCCTGTGGTAGCCATTTTAACAAGTCAGGGCCCATTTATATACATCCATTTACATTCACGTCGCCAAACGTGTGAGTCCAACACGTCTTTAGAGAAAAAGAGACCCTGAACCGCAGTATGAAACTCCACTCTGAAACACGTGCTGTTCAAGTGCTTTCCGAGTGCACGGTATCCACGGAATGGCCGAGGGACGTCTTCCGGCTGTTGCTGGAGATGTTGGTTGGATGCCGCGAGATCTCGCGCGAGGGGGGAGCCGAGACAACCGGGAGCTCCTCAAGCAACCTTGGATCGTGTCTGTGCAATGAAGCAATGGACAAAGAAGAAAAAACATTCGCGTATTTTTCTCAGTCATCCAGGATCTGACTGGATAGCTTCGAATACAAAACGTGAAAACTGGAATTCTTTCTTTCTTGTGTTCATTTGTGAGTGGTTCTGCCTTGCAGTGAAGGAAGACCGAACCAATTGTTCAAGCAAGGACTGAGATGAATCCTGTGCTGAAGGTCCACTTCTCGCCAACAAATAGGGAAGAACTGAGATGAACTGAGTGTGTATAGGAATAGGGAGACCCTCCTAGAATCTCCTAGACACCGAAGAACAAACATCGACCGTCAACCAACATCAATTGGTTGGGGTTCTCCCTTTTCTAATACACACGTCAAGCATGCTGGCCTGATTACCCGGGTGACATCTATTAGAAGGCCCTTCTTCCAAGCCAAGCCAGCACATTCTGCCGTAAATCGCTTCCCAAGCTTGCACATTCTTACATGGGGCCTGAGGTGGCTAGTCCGGACGTCGAAGTGCCCCCGCCCCTGCTTCGGACCTCGATCCCTCGATGCGGCCAAGACACACGGCTGGTTCCGGGCAAGGGTCCACAGACTCCGCCAACAGCCTTGCAAAGTCGAAGGCGCTACGAGGGCCGGGGCGAAACTGGCCTTAGGAGCAAAGGACGCTACTAGGAACAAAGGCCATCGCTACTAGGAGCAAGGACGCTACTAGGGGCTCCTGGCCTCGCTACTAGGAGCATTCTTACTACTAGGAACAAGAAGCTACTAGGAAGCGGGGCATCGCTACGAACGGAGCGAGCACGGACGCTACGAACGGCGATCGGGGCTCCTGGCGCCGGTCGTCTGCACTCGTCAAGCGACCGGATCACATACGTGGAAACACCAATTCTCATGGACCACCTCTTGGAGAAGCGGCGGGAACACTCCTAGCAAGAATCTTAATTACTAGTGCCCTTTGTTACTAGTAGCTTCTTGTTACTAGTAGTAAGACCAGGAGCCCCGTTCGTAGCGTCCTTGCTCCTACCATCAATACACAGCTTAACAAAACCTTGCTTGCCAGGTTGCGATGGCTGATGCGGTCTCAGCAAACCACTCAGTTTGGTTGCTCCTGCCAAGACTTAGTTGCAGCCGGGAATCCAAGCGCGACCAAACAGCTTTGTTGTTGGGAAAACTACTTACAGTTTGGCCGATTCAAGAGCATGGTCCGGTTCCCTTCCCAGGGAACATGCCAACATGATCTCCACCCCCACGAAAAAAATGTGTCAAAACTCACTTCGCGATGCAAACAAAAAAGGACGAGGACTTTCTTATTCCCTGCGTGAAGAAAAAACGCTGAGGACTTCCTCTTGACGCTTAGCAGCGATGTTTCGTCCCGCGCCGCTTGCGCCTTGGCCATTGATGAGCTCTTCTTGTGGCCTTGGAAGCTTGGCTGCGGACAGGCGCTCGAAGGTCTCTTGGAGGTGGCGACTCCAAAGGCTGCTCTGTTCCTGCAGTTTGCAGCAGACTCCGCAACAGATGAGCCAAGCTGGCCTAGCTCCCAATACGATTTTCAGCAAAAATGCAACCTGTCAGATTGAGGAGATTGAATTGCCCATCTCTAGCAAACATAGGCTGTGTCATGCTGTGTCCACATTCCCAGAAACATTCACGAAGCTAACACCACAAGGAGCAATGGACACCTTCGTTTCTCCCAATCAAAGACTCACCAACTCACCAAAGACGCATCCTGGGAAACCTCCAGCAACCGCTGCTGTTCAAAGGAGAGCGCTTGCAGGAAGTCCTCCCATTGGGCACGGAGGGCACAGGACTTTGAAGCTTTTGACACACCTAGCGATGCACTAGGAGCAAGGACGCTACTAGGGGGTCCTGGCATCGCTACTAGGAACAAGAAGCTACTAGGGGCTCCTGGCCTTACCACTAGGAGCGATCGGACGCTTGTTTGGAGCTGTGAACAGAACGGAGGGGAGCGGAACAGAGGCCATGATGCAGGATGCGTCCTCGGCCATGATGCAACGGATGCGTAACAGGCGGGCAGAACTGAAACGCCGAGCTGCTCGCTCGTTGGCTCAACGGCTCCTAAAGGTCTGAAGAGCAACGGCCCTGGGGTGGTCCAAACGATTCTTAAAATGGTCTTCAGTGGTTGCCCGAAAAGAGGAACATCCTTTACTTCAGTGGAAAAAATGGTTCTACATTCACCTGTTCTGGACTCCGACTTGCACATGGTGTCACGCACATGTGACATGTTATGGACAGGCAGCGCTGCCTGCACCACAGCTCTTTGAGCCCGGCAAGATCGTCCAAGCTGAGTGGTAGGAAAGACCACAACCCTCCTCTTTGCTTTGGTCGAACGTTTGTTTCTCCCAAGCATCCATGAGCGTCCTCCTATAGTAAGTAGCGATGGCCTCCAACCTAGTAGCAATGGCCTCCAACCTACTAGCGATGGCCTCCAACCTAATAGCCATGGCCTCCAACCTAATAGCCATGGCCTCCAACCTAATAGCGAGGCCTCCAACCTAATAGCGAAGGCTTCCGTGTAAGGCAACTGTTTAAGATATTGAGAAATGCTCGGTGCCGTGGGTTAGTGCGCGTGGTTCATGGCTGGTGCGGTACCAGCTGTAGGTGCCACGGATCACGACTGGTTGGTGCACATGCTTGGTGCGGAGCGAAGTGCGGGTGTAGTTCTTCGTTTCTTGGAATGCTTTCTGGTGTGTTTTTTGTTGGTTGGATGGACGCATTATGTATCGAGTCTACTGTTCAGCCCCAGAAGCCATGTTGTTGGCCCGCAAGTGCTAGAATTCTTCCATTGTGTTACTGTCCTTATCCAGTGTGTAGTCAGGATACTCGATTCATGCATACACATCAAATATTTGCAAACACACATATGTGCGGTTGTGACTAAACTATATAAACTGCTGTATACAGTAATCATGATGAACAATATATATATATAATTTACTGTAATGTATAGTTTATTATAGTTTAAACAAAGGAATTATGACGACAATAATGACAAACATATTGATGAATCAAGCATACCACTACTTCAAATTCCCAAAATACAAGGATCCACCAAATTAGTATCATCAACATCTTCAAACATTCAATCAGTTCAAGACACATATGTATATATATAACATAATTACATATAATATAATATATATTATATATACTTAATTTTATCAAAAGGCAGCATCTGCGAATTGTTCGTGTACCTCAAAGCAATCGGTTGGACATCTTTGGCCAAAAGAAGTAGGTGGTATGCCAGAAACAATCGCAAACGCCAATAGTAAAAACAAAACGGAAGGACTATGCTCGGGGGCAAGGGCTGCCAAACCATCACAGGCTTTGCTCCAACTGGAGGACCAGCTGGGGTCTCTGCTTGCAAAGATGGTCAATCTCCATATGCCTGGGCTGCCTGCCCTTTTTGGATAGCCAAAGACAAATATTATGTTTAGCAATGCTAGCCGCTCGCCGCTTCTAGGTGGGGATTGGTCTAGGCTGGCTGCTTCTAGATATGTGTTGGAATTTCGACTCATTTTTGCTTTCCGCCCTCAGATGGTAAGCTTTCGTGAGAGCGATCCAGCGATCCAGCGATGCATCCTCAAACCGGACTTAAACCCTCCCCCTTGGACTAGCACAGACTTGTACATCTTCGGTGTTTCATGCCACCAGAATGCTCAAGAAAAAGGACTCAGCTGAACCAGTCAGACTGCTTACACAGTTGTGAAGACGATGTCTACGCCAACAAACGTTGGCCGCTGAGACGACCGTCTACCGGTGCCTCGAAGAGCTTCGCCTCTTGGTGACAAGGATAGGCCTTCGAGTCACGCGATGCACGCGAGGCTCGGGTCGGTCGCACTGCCTGGAGTCCTGCCTGGAGTCAACCCCTGAAAGTACCTCGGACAATGGGTACCGATCACTGCCGCCCTTTGTGCGGGTCATGTTCCATTTTCAAGGGTACTTGAAGTCGGGTCTAGGTTGTTACATCATTCTTACTTGCGTGGTTCTTGCATTCTTGTCCACGTGGCTAAACAGCAAGAACATATGCCCGCTTTGAAGCCTAAGCCCAGCTATATACCCGCCTAAAAAATGGGTCACCAACTTATGTGCTGTCACGATCATATTGTATCATTATCTATATCATGTACCATCAAGTAATTGTGCAAAATGCAATGAGTTCTTTTGCGGATTGAATGCCTTGAGCAGGACTTTGGCCCTTCATAGCACACGTCTCTTCAAATTTTCTGCCAACTCAGAACTCGTGGGCTATCTTTCTCGAGCAACTCAACCTCTTGCTTGCCTTTCTCTAGGGATCCTGTAGTTTCATGTGGATCGGCCATCTGGCTCCGACGTCTGTGATCACCTTCCTTCCGCGGGACTCGGGGGGAAAAGCGGGCCGAGCGATTGGATCGATTGGGGCGCGTGCGCGTTTTCGACGTTTGGACGCCTGCTTGCCCCCACGCTTCCATACCGCAAGAACATGACACAAATCATCACAAATCGATAGGAAAGCAATGATTCGGATGGAACCGGATGGCTTCTTGAATAAAGAGACGCAGCAATCCACCAGTGAACTAACCTGACATCTTTGCGCCTGTCGCCCCCGCCCAATGCGTGGGGTCCTCGTCGCGACATCGGACGACTGAGACTGAGAGCCCTGCTGAGCTGGTCTTTTCCAAATGCTTCAGGTACCTAGAATGAGGCGAAACAGACTGCTCCGTGGCCTGTTTCGTTCGGACGTTTGGCACCAAACAAAGTAGCAAACAAAGTAGCTATTACGATGGTTGATCTATTGATATTGGGGGCTGCATTGAAATTCCTGACAAGAGGGTTTCTAGCGTTTGATTGTCCCACTGTTCAGCAAGCATCGACGAATTCAATTACCGATATTCAAGATCTGTCAGACTATACTAAATAAACCAATTTGAAACAGGTCAATCAACAAGCTGACTTTACTGCCGAACACATGTCCTCACTTAATTCGTCCGTTTACCTCCAAACATCATATAGTGTCCCCGATGAGGAACCGTTGAAATCGGCACTAGCAAAACAACTAATTGGGTTGACCTTTTCCCTATACTTTCCTTTCCCCTTCCCTTCCCTGGCAGACGTTCTCTTCCTGCTAAACAGTGTTTAGCCACACTTCCAAGACAATCCCAGATTCAAACTTCCAAAAAGTGACTGTTCGACTTCCTGCGAGCCGCTTCAAGCTCCAGCCGACACCCGAGTCGTTTCGATCGATCGAGTCGCAACAGCAGAACGAGTGCAACGTCAAGTGCCAGCGATTTGGATCGTTGGAGCTCTCTACACCTATACATACTACAGCTACTCCAATCTCAGTTGAAGCTAAAACACAAAAGAATCTCCGTGGCAGTGCGCAGAGATACATATCTCAGTTGAACATCATGGACATTCATCTCAAAACAATTATATATAAATCCGAATACAGAAACCAATCAAAAACACTGAGTAACCTGGGAAAAACCAAATCAACGCGTTCACCTCTGGCACATCATCTCACATCCACATCTGCCCACGTCCCTTTTTCACGTGCGCGATCTGCCGACCTCGTGCGCCTAGAGGCTTTGCACGCTGAACGTCCGCTTTGTACGTCCTGTGATTGACCATCTCAGCTTCAAGCGAAACAACTCAGGAGCATCTGAGAGCATCTCCGAGCACCCAAACGCGGAGGGAGGGCGGACCGGTCTCGGACTCGAAACCTCGGGTCAATCTGGGGTCGAACAGAATCAATGCCTAGGTAGGGAAGTGAACGGAGGGTCTGGGTGCACGAGCTTACGGAGGTATCACTCTGAGTGTTGTGAAGCCACACGGGGAGGTACCACGCTTACTGCGCTTCAAAACCCGGTCAATCACGCTTAAACCATCTACCCTCCCTGAAACAATCATGGAAGGAAGCGGAGTACAGCCTGTTCGTAGAGGAAAACAGTCTTCCTTTCGGGGCCATTCTCCAGTTCCATATTTATTGGATGGAGGGTAGACATCAGACTAAACATCAAACGGTTGATGAGAGTTCAATCAGTCAGATGAAGAGGGCTAGCAATCCATGTCTGGGGGGCTATGAATTCAGTCTACATGGTTCCAAATGCTTCACTTCTCCAGGTGTAAGAGCTCTTTGAAGTCGGTGAAGTTCAGCTCCTCCGAATGCAGCAAACAAAAAATCGTGAGTTGGCGCTTTCAAAGCACACCGGCCCCGTGGTTTCGCTGAGTGTTCTTGTGTGTTGTACATACCTCTTAGTATTGACAGCAGGCATCAAAAGTATGTTGAAACCTTCAACAGAACATGGATATGGGGTTGAACTTTATGACGTGCCCGGGCCGGGATGTTTGACTATAGGGTATGCTTCGGGGTATGCTTCGCCTAATCGTGGAACATCCCAGCCCTACATGAACTGGACACGTTAAAAGAGGACAGACCCATGCTAGTCATCTCATGTCTACCCAAATCCATCCAACTCAAGAAACCAAGACCACTAGGTCACTAGGCCTCCAAAACAATGCCTTGGAAACGTCGCAATGGCCAAAAGCCTTATATTAACAACCACCAGTTTGGTAAACGGCAGGGCATAAATCAATCGGTCTCTTTCCAAAGAATCTTCTGATTCTGCCGCACCTTTAGGGTGTCTCCTATGGTCAACAATGTAGTAGCTTGCTTGGTGCCTCCCCCAGAATCCCAACACATCCAAACAGCCTCTGGAAGCCCGGCGAGCAAATCTTCTAGCTCGTCCGCCGCGACCTGATGAACCATAAGGTACCCAGCTCATCAGGGGAGGAAGCCTTTTGTTTGCTAGTACGGCCAGGAGCCCCTAGTAGCTTCTTGTTACTAGGAGTAAGGCCAGGAGCCCCGTTCGTAGCGTCCTTGCTCCTAGTAGTAAGGCCAGGAGCCCCTAGTAGCTTCTTGTTACTAATTGTACCCAGCTCATCAGGGGGGATGCCATTTTTGCATTGTGCATTGTTCGCTCAGCAGATCTCAGCAGGGTTGTCACTGTTTAGCTGGAGGTGTTTGTGGATTCATGTGGATGCTGGTGTGACACTAAATGTCTAGTATGTTGATACTGTCTGTGTGGCAACAATATCAACAAAACTTTGGAATTAATATCATGCATCAGGTGTGCAACAGAATCTCCTATCCTGAATGCCCTCCCTCCAACAAACATGGAAGTGGACAACCCCCCTTTTTATAGACAATCATGGTCTTCGCAGGGGTCATGCCACCATGCCATCCACTTCCATGATTGTTGGAGAGAGGGTACATTCATCTCCAATATCTCCAATTGTTTAAGAGCCCTCCCAAATCTCCCAGTAGTCTCAACCCTTTGTGGTGGCCCGGCGTAGGAAACGCACCCATTTGCTTCTATACATTGCTCAAGGTCCATTTGTTACCTTGGTGGTACGAGGGTTTGCATCAAATGCGGAAGTCTCCAAGTTTCCAAAACAACGCCAAACTGTTTGGGTCACGGTGACTGGCACAGTTTTCATCCTGGTTTCTCATCCTCTTCCCAGCGCGTCCCTGCGCCCAGGGCCCACACATCGTGGCCAACCTGTCAAAAACGTGGGGAGCCAACCGACTTGAAAAGTGCAACGAACAAGTAACAACTCTCCAATCGGGACCTTTGCTCTTACAGAGACCGCTTTGCGGACTGTATATAGGGTCGCAAGTAACAAAATAATGAGCAAGTGGTCAACAGTGTTGAGGTTGGATACATCTGCATCATCTTCTTTTTTCTCGAGCTGCCTGATTTCTGAGGACCACGCACAACCTGACTGGTAAAGCAAGATGTTCATCCAACAAATCCGCCTTTAACGGTCAAAACCTTTGCGTTCTTCTCCAAAACGGCGAAGTTGCACGCCACTGCGCCTGCAGCATGTCTTGCAGCACCTGCCGTGAGAGCACATCACGGCTCTGAAGATCCAGCCGTTTGAAAGCAGATCGTAGCTGCTGTTCCTTGCACGGTGATGGTTTGTCTTCAGGAATGCAGCAGAGCAAGTGTCTGTCAATTTTCAGGAGACCAAGGTCATGTACAGTTCGGCTTAGGGAATGAGGCACAACCTGGGATGCACTTGGGAGCCGTGATACCATGAATTCCCTGGTGCTTTAAATTGCCTGGCAACTCCTAGAACAAACAGTGCATTAGTCTTAACTGTTGTATACATAGAACTGTTTATTGCAAATGTAATACCTAAATGACCCCCCTATCACATGTGTATGTATATATATAATAAGAATATATATGGACACATGTATGTGCTAGCGGAATTTTTACCGCCCAGAAAAACATCCAGAAAAACATGGATGTTTTGGAGATGGACGACTTCAGCACAGTGCCTCGATTCCGAGGGTTCAGATGTCATTCGGTTCAAATTACACATGCATACAGAAGAAACCCTTCTACGTTGCTACACAATGCGAGCGACTGAGAGTGGGGTGGGGGTTGGGGTGGGGAAGGGTGGGGTGGGGTGGGATGTTAACGTTCGGTTCAAATTACACATTCATACAGATGAAACCCTTCTACGTTTCCGACGGATGGGGACGGGTGCCGGCGATGGGCGGTGTAATTGAAGAGGGAAACCACCAACCAATGGTTAGACGGTAGACTGGTCGATTTCTTCCATCCCTATTCATACACACGATAGAGTTACAGTACCAATATATTATATTAATATATTATGATCATTTCCCTACAGGTCAAAGACCTTCATTTTACTGATCCTGTCCATGAATCATGTTTCATCAACGATCTGAATGGCCCGGAGGACTCTTTTTTCAAATAGGTTCATCTGTGGAAACGTGACAAAACATAAACTTTTTTTCCAAAATGTGGTCAAAATTCAAAAACGAACGTGCCGATGGGGACCCCTTTTTGCCAAGAAAATGCTGTAAGGGTTGCACAACGCAAAAAAACGACATTTTTTTGAACCCTTTTTTCTTTCTCAAAAATCAGCTGTCGCTGCAGCGAAACAGAGAAAAAGACAAAAATCGTGGGGCGGTAATAATTCCGCCGGGATGTATGTGTATCCTTGAAACTGCAACGAACCACTTAATATGGTTGATTCCTTGTGTGCGGATTGTACTTTCGCTACGCAAAGCCCTCCTTTTGTTCGCTGCCATTCAAACCTTCAACGAGAGGTAATGCATTGAAGTTAGGGGCTTCAGCCTGCAACTGTCGAGTCATCTGTCTCTATAAAAGTCGTGTTTATTAATAGCCAGACTTCCACACCAAAACAACCCTTGCGCATTTTTCCGGGTGCAAACCCACAAACCCTTAAGAGATAGCGCTCCCTGCATCAAGCCGGTCTCCTGATCACTCACCCCACCCTTCCAACACATACCACGCGTCCTGCACCGAAACGTAGAAAGGCCTCCCCACACAGTGACGTAGAAAGTGTCCGAGCTTCTTGGTCACTTTGGCCCATTTCGCAAGGTTTACGTGAATATTCAATATGAACTACTTTGTTTGTTTTGAGGGCCAGTTGATGGGTTTTGCCCTTCATCCTGCACCAAGTACGCCCCCAGTAGTAGTGGGAAGCCTACAGTACTACAGGGGGATGGGCTGCACATCAGTCTCGAAGTCGGAAAAAGCCAGCAATGCTGACCTCGCTCGTTTCTCGCTCGTTTCCCACTTGGCAGGTTCAGGAGCGAGCTTCGGACGAGTGGCGAAGGCGGCCGGGTTGGCTTTCGAGTGGCGAACCGGAATCCAACAAATCTGGAACAGCACGCTTCATGATCTGAACATGTGACGTTCCTTTAAGAGCGATAGGGGTCTGCCATAGGCGCAGATTTTTTTCATATGAGCAACAAACAAGAGACATCGGTCGGTCTAAAGAGTCCATGTTTTAAAACATAAACAAAAAACAACACGAAAGACATAACATGAACTATCATGAAATAAAAAAAATAAACACTAAACTTAACTAAAACACACATGTACCACCTGAATACAGGTTGTGGGACACACCCAAACCATTTATATACTCTCAGGTGATGTAAACCCGAACCATGCCGCAGCTGAGCACAGCTCTTGGCCATTTTTGTTGCTGCATTGCTTAAACCACTTAGACTCACAACAATGAGATTAATTTGTCCCTCCACTTGTTGGACGTTCCTCTTTTTCACGAATCAAACCAAGCAAGTCAACCGATGTACACCAAACTGCAGCATAGCTGCAGCATAGCTCCAAGTCTCCAGCTGGCTGTCCCTCAAGTGACGATGTGTTGAACCGGGCGTCCCGGCAGCATCACTGCCACGAAGTCGCTAAAGCCCAACGACTGGCCACCCGCCACCGCCAGCAGCACACTGGCGCCGGAAGCGATCTTTTTGGCAGCATGAAGGAACAAGTGCTGGAAGGGTTCAGAAGATTATTCTTTTCCTCTGCATCCTTTCGTGATTTTCGTAGGTGCATTGCTTGGTCCTTTGGGAAAGATCACTCGGTTTGAGTCGAAGTGATGGAAGGGTACCCTTGCAATCACCACCTCTTGGATCAGAACAGTTACCCCAAGGAGTTCAGCGGGCGAGAGCTGCTAGTTTAGAATGGTGGAGCTGCTTGAGTCACTGAGGAGCTCTCCTGCCATAAGAGTCTCTCCTGATCTCTGCTGTCACCGCCTAGGAGTTAAGTTATAAGTTTTCCAAACGTCTAAGAGCAACCAAAAGCAATTAAGCCAATCAGCCATCATCAGCCCATCCAAAGAAGTCCCTTGTTTTGTTTTGCGGTTTTCTAGTACATACGTAGAGTTCTCTCCGACTACACCAACTAAACCTACTAAATATTAGTGGTTTCAAAGGCTCGATGGCACAAGTTACCCCAAGTTCGGTGGTTTATATCAACCCCCCAAACGCTTATGGACCCTCATATGGAGGGGTCTGGGGTCTCAAATCCCTAGGTTTTGAGGGACCAAGGGCCGTTTGGAGCATCTAGGCCATATTAGAAACACATCTTTGGGGGGCCGTGCCCCGTACTATCGAACCTCTAAACCCACCGGCCAGACATTACCTCACCCCTCGGCCCCGTGGCCGGGAGAAGTCGATGGGTCTTCACATGTTCGTTGACATCATTTCTGGACAAAAAAGGACGATATTCAAGGATATTTACCTGCGAAATATGTGAGATGCTCTCGGCATGAACATGCATCAATTCCAACTCAAGTGGTTCTCCAAACTTCCCCGGTCACGCACCTCATCTCGTCTTCTCCATCACCTTCGTCTAAAGCGGAGCGAAACCGCGGGTTGGCTGCACCCGTCCAGTCCTTCAAAGGATGAGACCGGACCTGGAAGAGTTACTCTGACAGACTCACATCTTAAATACCACCCAATTTGAAGGGGTAGCAAAGATCGAATATGAGTTCTTGGAGTCTTGGACATAACCCAAACACTCCATGTATGCCTACATTAACCACCCCAATGTAGGCATGGAGCGTCTGGGTAAATTCTAACAATTTCTGTTCGCATCTGCAACTATTCCAGTCCCATGGATTCTTTGGGGTACCATGGGGTACCTTGGTGTAAACACGGATGCTGGATGCTTCCGCACGGATGCACGGTACCTTCTGTTCCCTCCAAAACGCCCAGGACAACGCTGCGCCCAGGAAGAGTCCCCTTTCAGGCGTGCAAGTTTTTCTGCGCCAAAGAAACAGCAAAGAAATCCGTGGATTCTTCATACCGTTGGAAGACTTTCTGAAGCATCGAGCGTGAACAACCCTGTAGGGCTCCTGGCCCACATCCTCAAAAGGTAGTTATATAGACCTCCCAAACCTACCCCAACCCCAACCACCTTCTCAGGAGGTGGTTGGAGCCCCAGGGCATCATCATCCATAATTCAAATCGATTAAACAAACTCATGAGATCTCCCCCAAGACCTCGGACAAAGGGATCTTGAATTCTGCGGGCGTTCGAAGAACTAGGGAGTTGTGTTTCGTGCTTGAGCCGGAAACAACAAGGGCAACATTGGCACACACAATTATTTCCAACATGATGCCGCGTGAGGGTGACCAAAGTTCGTTCAGGTGGAGCTGCTGTCCCTGCCTGTCCCCAAGTCTGAAGCTGATAGGACACCGTCGGAGTCGCAGTCTAACCGCAGGAAGAAACCTCGCACAGATCGGAAGGTAACATGATCAAGGCCAAGTCCGTGTCATTCGGCCGTTTGTTTGATCGGATGATGAGTGCTCTAAGAGTCTGGGCCCGGGTTTCCAACATGGTTTAGGGTGGTGCCAGGGGGGTCAATGGGGCCAATATGGCAGTCCCAAACAGGTCGTGTCTGGGAAAGGGTTGGGTTTTCGCCCACTATCAGAGGGGGTAGGGCCTGTGTGAGGGGCGCCCTTTGTGAGCTTGAACACCTTAAGAGTTTGATAGAATTTTGCTAGAGAGTTTTTAGTGGTTGTGCACAAATGTTGCTTGGGGGAACGTTGGTGATCAGAATGGTTGGTAGCATAAGCCTTCAGGAGAAGCAATCAGAAGGTTGGGTGAGCAGATTGAGGCAGCTGAGGGATGGTGGTGAGAATGATCAAGATGCGATCATGAAGACACCAGCATCCAAAAAGATGAAACACCAGCACCAGCTGGAATGATTCCATGCAGATGGCATGTGAAAAGGGCGGAAGATCAGCTTCACTATGGATCAGCTTCACTTACAGTAGTAGGAAGATCTTTGATACTACTGTAACTGCAAAGAAGGTAATTCAGCAGCATAATATATAGTTTATCAATAAACCATATCATATTTACAATGTTCTGGTGGCAAATGGGCTTGACTAATAGGGGAAGCTTGTCTGCCCAGAGCACAATTATTAGAGGGAGGCCAATGTGGAAGGGGTCGAAATGGGCTTGATATGGTTTGAATAATTGCGTAAGGTTACTTAATCCTATGTTAACATATTGTCTGTCATTCTCAACGCAAAAGGTGTGTGTTGGTGGGGGGGTATATATATATTATACTATATATGCCAGTGCCATGGAGTGTCTGGGAGATGGATGGGTGCCCAGCCTGAGCGCTCTTGAGCAAGATCCCAAGGCGGAAATCCAAGCAAAACTCCAGGAAATCTTCTTCAACACTCCAAGGTCATAGATATTCATATTGGTGGTATGGTATTGAACATGGTATCCCGGTACCCCCGGATCCCACCTCTCAAAGACTTCAGTTGGGACTCGGCCAACTCCTGCACCAAAAGTCGGAGAAAAGCCTGGCATGCTTTCGCGGAGCGGCGAGCGGAGTCGCGAGCGAGTACTAGCATGAGCATACGTCGAGGAGCATCGAGCAAAACATCAGGTCGGAAAGAAACACACATCACAGAACGATGTGTAGAGACAACGTCGAATCTCTCGGGATCCAGCGGCTACGTTACTCCAGGAAATTCCGCTTGGATCCATCTGGTTGATTTAGGCGACATGTCCCACACAAATTATGAATATCTTCAGATGGGATCTCCAGGTATGTTGGATGGTTTCGAGAAGAACACAGAAAAACACGCGGCCTTTGTGTCTCGAAACCGTCGATGCCAATCTCAAACCGTTTCCCACCATATCTCAAACACGACTGATGGGACCGACGCAAGTGAACATTGCAGGTTTTCAAGTCCATACCTCCCCTGAATCGTGGTTTCGTCCATTGCCTTCGAGGCAAAGGACTGATTGATTCATTGGACATATATATATATATACACACTGTATTTAACTAATATATATATATATATGTATATTCATATGATACAATATATTTAACTATATAGTATGCAAAAAAAATATATCAGATATTATTGGATCTAGTTTTGGAATATGTTTGGATCTGCTGCCTTTCTTGCTTTCAACCTTTCAACATGATTCAACAACATGTCGACATATTCCAACATCGGTCGCCCAGCTCTCCCCCCATCGGTCGGCCGCCCTTTTTCTTCGCCGCGATTCATCGGGGGTCCCCGAGCGCCGGCTCGATCCCCACCGAGCGAATCCTCCCGAATCCCTCGGGTGCTGAAGTGGAGAACAGTTGGTCATGGAGTGGACGGAGTGGATGGAGAGGAGCGGACTATGAAGGATCCGCTTGCTTCAGGCAAATCTCGATCTATTTGATAGGGCAGAAGGAGGGATGAGTGATATAAGATATAGATGTGATCTGAGATCTGGTGTTCTTGAGACACGTTGAGCACCTTGAGTGCCCACAACTGGAAAAACCGGACCACATGACGCCGAGCAGCCAAGCACCGAATGACCAACACTCCAAGTGGATCCTACCTACTACCTGCCGATCCAGTGGATCTCACCCCCCGAAAAAAAGGAGGAGGCTTCATTGGTCAAATGGTTGTCATCTGGGAATGGTTGCATCCCTCAAGCTTAGCTTGAATAGTATGAAGTTCATCAACCCAAACAGCGCGGATCGTGGATGTGTAGTAGGAATGAAGTTGTTTTGTGGGTCACTAGGAATGAAGTTGTTTTGTGGGTTGCGCGCCAAACACCAATGGACTTTGAATCATTCACGGAGGATTGTTCCACTCGGCACTTCGTTCCGGGTCTTGATTCCAGGGAGTCTAAATTCCTTCAGGGACACTGCCAGTTGGACTTTCTCAAACCAGCACTTGGCATCCACAACTGCTTTCTCCACGGATTCTGAAGTGATTTCTTGATGATTTGAACTTCAACACCCGACGCTCGGGACACTGCAGGAGTCCCTGCACAAGAGAAAACCAGAAAAAGATTGGCTTACGGCTTACATGATGCTATAGCTGTTCATACTTCGAATTGAGATGTTTAGCTCCAGATAGCTCCAGGTCATGAGCAAGCACAAATGTTTATATACAGTCACAGTGAAATGAAACCTTGATCCTGCAAAAGTTTACTGCCTTGAAAAAAACACCCGTTTGAATTGGAACATCCTCTTCATAAGGGGGAGTGAAATATAATTATCAGGAGTCTACATGGCATTGGCTCCCCAGGATCCAACCATGGCGGCTCTGCGTGTTTACCATGTGTTGGATACGTGGAAGCCTGGCTCTCAATGGTTCCTATCTGATCATGAGAAAGCTACTTACTCGGGGCTCCTGGCATCGCTACGAATGGAGCGATCGGACGCTACGAACGGAGCAAGGAAACAGTAGGGGTCATGAAGACTTCATAAAGTCTGCCTACCTAGTTCCATAGGGCGGTTCTGTCCTACGGCGCTTGTGATCTGCACTGTCTCTTCAGCCAACGTTCATACGTCAGGTTCTTCACTGTGCTCCAATAAGTTGCATATAAAAAAGGTAGATGTTTGTACTTGTTGAGACATCCCCACTTTTGACAAAGGATCCACCATTTTCCTGGCCACCAATTTTGTCATGCTCTAGACTCTAGAAGTGCACACAGGTCCCCTGCCAACACATGTCCAACACGCTCGCGCGAGTTGCTTTCTTTCAATGTTTACATCTTTTCACCAAACTGTAGAGGTTCTCGAAAGGCGCACATCAACTTGAGATGAACAGGTCAGCGGTCAAATGTGTGTGTATTAAGATACTCCAACAGGGCAGGGGACTGAATATTTACCTTGCATTTAGATGATTTTAGATGTTTTACGATCAATTTAGGTAAAACACGCGAAAAGCGACCGCTAACTTACATGGTCCCCGGCGGCTTCCAAGTGTTCAGAAAATGTTCTCAAAACATAAACTTTGGCAAAACTAGATCTTTGCCTTGCAGCCAAATGATTTGCCCGCAACCTATATATATATATAGATTTCCTATGGGATTTAGAGTCTCAAATGATGCAACCGTGTACTTTTCGATCTGCTGTAAGCCCAGCGCCCAAACGAGTACGGACCGCGCATCTCACATGGTGGGACTCGGACCACGCGGGCTCATTGCCCCTCCTGACAAAAGACGAGAACGGAGGGATGCCAGGTCCAAAATAGAAGAAAAGGCCATCGAAGCTAGAACAGTTGACAACTGTTCGCACCCCAATTCACATATGTTCAAATGACAAGTGAGTTGCTTGTCTATTATTCAACTAAGTTAAAACCATATAATGGTTTTAGGGTGAGATTTGGTGGGATCATTCGCACATACAGCGTCGGTGTACTGTAGGTCTCGTTTTGCAGGCGTTTGCTGAGCTCACACATTGACATCCAAGGACGCATTATATACATATACATTGTATAACAGTTGGGTCGTTGGGCTATCGTTGGTTTGGACGTCAGCTGCAATCCTAGTCTTCGATGAAGCACCCTTGCAACGGTGCAAAAAAACATGATAGTCTGGAACGCGACTCAAATGAGGCTGTTGAAGAACAACTAATTATATAAGACATATTAAGACTGAGGTGTATACTACCCTCTCATTAGACATCCAGCTCTGCAATTGTAACATTGTGTAACGTCCAACAGTTCAAAATTAGCTGCAATACCAGCCATTTCAGGATCCCTACCAGCCCAATAGCAGTGCCTTACTACCAGCACGTTTCCGTGCTTCTGTGGATTCCAGTCGGTATTCTTCTTCAGGTTGTAATCCCAAAGACTCCGGACTGGCACATATCCTACATTGGGGTGGTTGAATTCAGGGTCAGGCAGGAGGCAGGAGTCCGCAGGCAGGAGTCTATTCCAGTCCCAAAGAGGTCATGTCTGGAGTCTTCGATCATGGAATCTCACCGGCTGCTTTGTCCCAAGCTGCTCATTGGGCTAGAGGGAAAGTTTGGAGATGCCTCGGCGAGCGCATTCCGCGCAGGAGAGCAAGTCTGCGCCGCACGCAGCAAGGCATTGTGCTGAACAAGGAAGGTTTACCAACTTCTGCATCTGAATAGTGACAAGATATGTTTAACAAGTTGACATGTTATGTTCATGTGTTTTTCAACTATATATGTTGAACTGTTCAATTTATATAGGCAACACGACATATTGCTTATTAGTGAATAAATCGATGGCCTCATCGGTCATCTCACATCTATGGGGAATGACGATGGCCTTTGCATCGCTCTTCGGAAGAGAAGAAGAGCACTGGGCGCCGCGGCCGAGATCGAACCATCCGGGCGGACGATGGCCTCATCCACCTGAGGTGCGGGGAACGCATCGGAACGGAGCGACCCAGGACGGGGGGGTTGGGGGGTTGGGGCGATGAGGTGGTGAGCCCAAACCGTATGAGCTCCAACTCCATTCGGGGGGTTCCGGGTTCCGACCCAAACCATAGATATTGTCCAATCCTCTCATTAAGCTTCAGTAAACGTCCACCTTTAGATGGATGGAAGGTGCGAGGAATTGCTTCCAAATAAAGCACTGCAAAGGCAAGTGACCACTGGTAGCCTGAAAGTATGAACGAGGTTACAGCTCTTGTTCGGAGCCTCAAAAACAAGGGGTTTTGAGTTTTGAGGGGCCCCAAACCCCTGTCATAGAGGCTTCGACCCCTGCTAGGTCTGGACGCGGATCTTTAGGCAAGGTCCGTTCTCGAATCCGAATCACTTAATTCGCTCTCGAATTCGTGGACCAGTGGACTTGAGGGACCTGGCTCTCGTTGAAAAAAAGAACGACCTGGCTCCATGCAGAACACCCTGGAAGAGGTTGAATTTGTGTCATTGGATGTCTGTCACGCCTGGTCTGAGCATTCTGAGATCCGAACTGGAAACATACTTTCGCGGTCCGGACCGACCTGAGGAAGGAACACAAGACCTGTGACGGCTGGGTGTTGACCACTGTTAGGCAGGGAGGTGAGTGCGCATTGTGCATCTGCCAGATTGGAGGGCAGCGCTACTAGTAACAAGGGCATTACTACTATAGTAACAAGAAGCTACTATAGGTTGCAGCCCATCGCTATCAGGTTGGAGGCCATCGCTGTTAGGTTGGAGGTCATCGCTACTAGGTTGGAGGCCATCGCTAGTAAGTTGGAGGCCATCGCTGGTAGGTTGGAGGCCATCGCTAATAGGTTGGAGGCCATCGCTAGTAAGTTGGGGCCATCGCTGGTAGGTTGGAGGCCAATTAGGTTGGAGGCCATCACTAGTAGGTTGGACACCATGGCTACTAGGTTGGAGGCCATCGCTAGTATATAGGTTGGAGGCCATCGCTGGTAGGTTGGAGGCCATCGCTAGTGAAAACAAGGGATCTTTCCTGGGACTCGATTTGACTCAGCAGACTCTGTTGTTTGATTGGAAACTTTTGTCTGCCTGAAACGCCTCACACATCCTCAACCAACACATGGCTTCACGACTTGATGGGCTAGGGTAGGTAGGTCCGTG